CTCACACTCGGGCATTCCAGCATGCAAGCCAGGCATCTCAAGTTGTATGTTAACCACCTTGTTTTCAGTTTGTTTGTTTGTTTATTTATTTATTTAGGAGCAGGGTGGGGGAGAGGATGTATCTTTCTCAACTTCTTGATATTTTTCATAGAGTTGTTTTCTTGGATGACATGTTTTTAAAAGAAATATTTATTTGGGTTTTCATTGGGAAGAATTACAGATAGAAAGGGGAGAAATAGAGATCTTCAGTCTGCTGGTTCACTCCCCAAGTGGCCTCACTGGGTAGAGCTGTTCCAGACCAAATCCAGGAGTGTGCAACTCCATATAGGTCTCGTACATGGGTGGCAGTGCAGAAGGGGTTAATCTGTCTTGCCCTGCTTTCCCAGGGTTATTAGCAGGGAGCTTGATTGGGAGCGGAGCAGCTGGGACACCAAACAGTGCCCTTGTGGGATGCCACCATTGCAAGTGAGGGTTCACCTGTACTGCCCTTAACCTAGTCTGCCACAGCCCTGGCCTCTAGGGGGAGAATCATTTTATATATGTATAACTGTCCAGGTCAGCCAGTGATCGTTATTTGTGACTTTTGAGCACTGTTGATAAAATTGTATAGCTGAAGAGCTGGATTTTCAATTTCAACTCCATTTTAAATTTAAATAGCCTCTTTGTATATTTTCCATAACATTCGTACTAATCTTTCTGATGTTCATTATTTAACATTGCATAAGGGGAAAGGCCTGTGTCGTATTTTCCAAAATGAGAGATAGCCACTGATTATTTTTATCTCTATATATGTGTATCTCTCTCTCTCTCTCTCTCTGTGTATTTGTAGACTTTTCATTCTGTCCCTTGATGGATAATCTATCCTGGCACTCACACCCCTCACAGTCGGTCAGAGTCAGGTCCAATTTAGACAAAACTTTATCATTTGTGAACGTTTCTTGAATATTTATAGATCTTAGATTTATCTTTGCTAATAAAAGCAATAGTAAGAATGTCTGCCACTCTTGGACATTTCCTTAATATAAACAGTAGGTGTGTTTTCAAATAGAAAATATTAATAATGAAGTTGTTTCTGTTCTAGCATTTCAGTACACCTAGTGATATTTCCTGAAATAGGTTTCAAGAAACTCCTATCTGTGATTACTGAGTTTATCATTTAATTTGTGCAAGACCTTGTCCTTCATAATATAAAACTCCTCCGTTGAAAGCATTTAAAAAGGACAACTGTAAAAAAAATAAATACCCAGAGAATACTACTTATTGAAAAGTGAAACTTATTGGTAAAGAAGACTACTTTTTCAATATTTTTTTTTTCTGGAGTATTTGATGAACTGAATAGGCTTGGAATTTCACAGACTAAAGTTCTGTGCCATAGTTGGAAACCACGAGGCCAGCCCAAAGCGAAAATCCTTCCTGTGACCCACCAAATCATGTCATCGTTACAGAGATATGCTCTCAGCAGTGCCCATAAGACGTACATGCACACACCCACATACACAGAGCGATGGCTGCAAAGAAACCAGGCTCCCCGCCCTGTAAACTTGGCACAAGTGTAGGGGAAAAACATCACTTCGGGATTCCTGAACAGCAGTCATCCACCACGTGTCTTTGCAGTCCAATTTTATATTCCAGGATGCTTGGAAACATCTATAGTTAGCAGTGTCAGTGAATGCTCCAGACCCTGACAGAAAGAAATTCATGCTGTCTTTAACTAGGAATCCAGTTCAACAGAAACTTAAAATAATAGCCAAGTGATAAGGAGCCAAGTTATTTGAACATGTGAGGCCTTATTAACCAAGAGCAGGGGAAACTACAGGTCATGGAATCTGCTCTGTGAAAACATCGAGTAGCGGTTTTTTCCCTTCTGCTTCAGTGCCTTGTGACATGACATTTGTAGTGCCCAACATAACCCAAGTGAATTGAGAGAGTAAGATTGGTTTAGGTTTACCGGTAGGCAGTAGGAAGCTGTGTTACTTAAAAACACTCTGTACGTGTTCAATAAGAGCTACGGCTGTATAGCTAAACGGACTGGGTTTGGATCTCTGTCCTTGGGAAATTTACTTAATGACTGTGACTCAGCTTCTTCAAGCTGCACAAGGGAGTGATAATAATAGCACCTGTCTCTCAGTTATGGTGAGAAATAAATGATTTCTACAAATGGACAAACCAAAAAGTAAGAGTTTTGCTGTGGATAAAGATGCCACTCAGTAGATATTTTTCTGCTAACTTCGTGTGACCTGTGATCTGATCCAGGGGTCTGGAGTTAAGATTGAGTGGTGAAAGCGTTGTCTACCTGAATATGTGCCTGAAGCCCCACTGGGCTGGACACTGAAAAGTAGGGAGACGGTAACAAGTATGTCTGTTGCAGATTGCTGAAACAGAAGCAAAACAGCTTGTCCATGAGAGGGGGAAAACTCCTTTATTATATAATTTTCTCTATGTAAATATATATTTGAATGATAGTGTTGTTAGTTAAAGAGAGAGAGGTAGAAAATAATCATATCGATTGAGCTTTAGTGTAGGCACATTTTCACAGCTCATGTGTTGAATTTTTAGTGATGATTAGTGAAACACGTTTGTATAGCAGCAGTACATAAGGAGGAGCAACATGAGATACAAGCACCCTGGATACAAGGGATGACGCTCTTCACAGAGAACTCTTGCTGCTTGCTTCAAAACGCTACCAGAAAGCTCGGAGATTTCAGGAACAGTTTCCTTTGGCCTGATTTTAAGTAACTGGAGGCGTTTCTTTTGTTTTTAATTCTGTTTTAACAAATCTGTCGGTTGGCTGTTCGGAGACAGAGTTTGCACCCAATGTTACTCCATTTCCCAGATGTGCGCATGGCTTCGGGCTGGGCACTGTGGCTCTACGGCCCACAGGACAGGCACTTCATCACTGGAACTGCCACTGCTGCCTTGCTGGGTCTCCTTGCGGGAGCTGGAACCGGAAGCCTGAGCTGGGGAGAAAAGGTGGATACTTGGAGGGGGAATGTAGATGTCTCACTCATTAGGCTTTGCGTTTGTGGTTGTTGTTTTATTTTAAGGGAAGAATGTAACTCATAAGTGATGAGTTCCTGTGTGAATACAAGTGAATTCACTTAAAAGTGAATACAAGTGAGTACTTGCAGGTTTGTTCCAGGTTATTACCCAGTCTCTGTGACTTAAAAACAAATAGCTTGTGTTTCCGTGTAGATGGTCTTTTACAACAAACATCACGTATTCGTGGATTCACCTCATTTATGCAGAGAATTGGACTGGTGAACTGCTTCTGTTTTACAGCGGCCCTGGGCTCAGTTACTCAATTACATAGCAAGTGTGGAGTGGTGCCGGATTCAAACACACGGGTTCAGCTTCAGGCGTCTTCCCAATTCATGACAGCAAATTGCTCTTGCATAGAAGTGAATATTTGGTTGTCCTCGTGTTGGAATATATCCTTGGGCTCAGGCTCAGTCCATAGTATATTTTTGTTTACCTTTGGTTTTTCTTTTATTTTTTAAAAGATTTTGATTTATCTAAATAAGAGAGAGGAGAGAGAACAAGAGCCAGAGATGGGGGGAAGGAGGTGAGGCGGTGGGATAGAGGGTCCAATGTGCTGATCTGTTGGCACAGATCCCAAATGCCCTCAAATGCCAGGTCAGGGCCTCACCCAGGCCAGGAGCCAAAAGCTCAACCCAGATCTTTCAGGTAAGCAGCAGGCACCTCACTACTTGTGCCATCACCTGCTGCCTCCCAGGGTCTATTGTAGAAAGCTTAAGTCAGGAGCTGGAGGCAGGCATTGAACCTAGGCACTGCCCTGCAGGCTACAAGTGTCCAAACCCTAGGCTAAACTCCTACCCTTCTGCTTCTTTTGGCACTGGATTTTCAGACTCACAGCTGATAAAAATTTGATTAAGAAGGAAGACAAGTCTGACAAAGCAAAGAGGGATGCAGGTCATGATGAGGAGACACTTTGAAATGTTTCGCTACTGAGTGAAACAGCTTTAATGTTTCGTCTGAGTATACAGCATGTATACCAATGTATACCACCTACAAGAGACGGCGTGTCTATAGATATTTACAAATATTGTCTACGAAAGACTTCCATCCCAACTCTGGATCATGGAGAGAAGTTGTTCCAACTGTCCCAGCTTTAAATGCACAGTGTGCAAATTAATTTAGGCTCTTACTCCAACTTCACAGCTGCGCTGTCTTGTAACTAAAAGTTTTCCCTCATTAGAAAGGAAGCGAATGTCGCCATTTCCCATGGGTCTCCTGTTACTGATACAGTGTTATGCTTCACACAGTGACTTTAAACTCAGGAGAATTTATGCACAATTGGTGAATTAAACCAGAAATAATTTCTTGTGGCATTATGTCACATTCTCGACAATTTAAAAAAAATCCTTTAATTTCTTTTACCCTTAATTAAAATTAAAAAAAAGTTTTGGAAGGCTATCAAATTTGGGAAGCCTGTAGTTAAATGTGTTGTACTGTATTGAGAATATATTTGTTTCTCATGTAAGCTCCATTTCATGCAATTATCTGTACATTTGTTAATGTCCCAGTCTTTTGAGTGTTACTTATTTGCCTTTTTAAAAATAGAATGTCTGTAATTAATTTTGCCAGAGGAAAGGAAAAGTCTATTGTAGAAAGAAAGTTTCTGTCTTTAAGTAGTGACTTGTTTTTGCCCACAAAGCCTAAGGGAGGGGGGGACTTGGACTTGGTTGGGGTGAGTTAACTGTTTCTGTCAGTTTCCATTATTTTTATATGTAGCACTGGCTTCCCTTTCTTTGTCTTCATCAAAGTTGCCTACCTTTCCATCACTCAACACTGTCTATTCTTCAAATCTTTGCTTTTTTCCCTCTCTTTATGCTTTTTTCCCTCAGTAACACAGCCTCCTTCAGTGTCAGGCCCTTGGAGTCTATGCCTCTTAGTGCAATCACCTCTATAACTCCAGTAGTAGTATGGCCACTGCCCGTGCGGCGTCCTTCTGTCCCCAGTGTTCCAGTTTTACCCTCATCACCTTCTTGCTTGCCTCCACTTGATAGGATGAAGCGAAAAGAAAGAGAGAGAGAAAGAGAAAGCGAATGAGCAGAATTCTTCTGATTAGAAACAAAATTTCATTGCTAATACCCTATTGCTCTAATGAGCGCACCTAAATCTGGTCACACTCCAAAGATTCCTGCTAGTTTATACTATTATCCGGGGGATGAGGGCTCTATCGTGAATTTTTGGAAGGATGGCTTTTCAGTTAAATTTTCTTTTAAATCTATGTCTTTCTTCACATCTATATTTACAATAGTACAACAGTGCTTGGAGACCCCAACCGTCGTTTAATATTTTCTCAAACAGATTTCCATGTTCCTGACTATAAAATGGTATTCCCCGCTTGGGAGACCTGCCTCTTGTGCTGGAATCCCTGTGACTGTGTTCCACCTCTGTTCCTCAGCCAGCTTCCTGCTAGAGCCTCTGGGAAGACAGCAGGCGATGGTCCCAATACTTGGGTTCCTATCTGCCATCCAGGAGATCCTGATGGCATTCTGGGCTCTTTTTAATTGGGGTCACCCAATAAATGTTATGGGTAGTTGGAAGAAGACTGTCAGATGGCAAGTCTCTCTCTCTCTCCTCTGTTCTTTGTGTTTCATTCCACCTTCTACCCCCACCCCCGCTTTCTGTTGCTCAGTCTTTTAAATAAACAAATCCTAAAAGGATACGTATCAATGTTCTGGGTTTTGTATGTAGCATTGCAGTGCAGAACATTCTGAAGGTGGTGGTAGTGAGACAGAAGTGCAGAAGTGAAGGTGGTATGAAGATTGGTAACTTGCTAGAACGCTTGAATGCAGTCCCCGCCACCTGCAGAGTGTGGGTGGTGAACTCTTATTTCATTGTTGCACTCAGTGAATGAAATGCATATCACTTGGCTCATCATCTGTCTTTGGAACTAGGCAATCTCCTCCTCCTGCCTGAAGGCTGTGAATGAGCCAAGTGGTTCTCAGTACAAAGAGCATTGGAAGGGAGCTTAAGAGAAGCTCTGACATCAAGTCTTGGCTATTATTGCGTCAGTGAAATCTGCATATGTTCAATCTGTATGTGTATTACTTTCGTAACAACTGTGTAAAGCTGGAGTTTAACCTTTCTAAGTGGTGAAGGTTAAACGAATTCTCTGATTAAATAGTTGAAATCGGTGAATTTGTAGTATGCTTGGGGGAAAAGCCTTTAGCTGGTCTTTTTGTGAAATTGTATAGTCTTGTGTCCTTTATTACTGTTGATATATCCTGAGAAATGAATCCTTAGAGAATTTTGCGTTGTACAAACACCATAAAGTACTCTTCTCCAAGCTCAGCTGGCTCTGATGTCACTAGGTGAAATCATCTATGAGACAGCTGCTACATAGATGTCATTGATGGAATTGCATTATACTAAACCTGAAGCTTATTATATTCAAGGACAGATTGCTGAACATTGCCTGTTTATGTATTGTATTCTTCCTTGAGAGGGCAAATTTACAGCTGTGAATTAGCCACTCGAGTAGTCTAAGTAGATTTTTGGCAAAAATTCAGAGAGGGAAATATTTCAGAATAGTTTTAGGTCAAGGGTAGAGAAGAAATTAATGGAAATGTGCTTGCACAGTGCATAAGTTTGGTTTCCTGTAGAGTTTGGTGTAGACTACAAACGAAGCTATATCTTTAGTTGTTACTAGAGTTTATTTCCTTCCTGAATTTGGGCTCATAGTTAAGGCAAAGAGATTAGATCTTCTACTGCTAGAATAGGCCACTGGGAAGAAAATAGATTCCAATCTTTATCTTCTGTTTGCAGCAAAATATCCAGTCACTCACCTGAAGACAATCCTCAAGTATGGTGAGATAGCAAACTTGAAATAAACTGAGATATCTACTGAGATATTGGTAATGAACTCAACAAGGCCAAATAATGCATTGCTATATGTGCATTGATGGAGCCTCTTAGCAATATTAAAGTTTATGCTGCCTGTTACTATCAACTTGCTTTACCAATCCATTTAAAACACATTTGAGTGCTTCGCATGTTAGACGTTATGTTCTATGTAGAGATAGCTGGGAGAATGATTCTACCATCCACGCCCATCAGGAATGTGAATCAGTGTGTGTATGAGGGGTCTTCAAATAATTCACAAAAAGTCATATGAGTTAATTATGAAGGGTTTTCAGATACTTTTTGGATGCAGCTTTACTTTATTAATTGCCGTCTTCTCTGAATCTTTGAAAGTACTTCCATATTCCTGTGCTATTCATGTCTGTATGTGGAGGGTGGGATGGAAAGAAATAAGTGACCAAATTGCCAGAATACAAGATAATACCGTTAGGACTCCAGGAGAGCGAGAGAGAGAGAGAGAGAGCGAGAGAGAGAGAGAGAGAGAGAGAGAAAGAGAAAGATCTGAGACCTTTTCCTCCTGGAAAGGCAGGTCCCCATGTTGATGGGAGAATGTCAGTTGATGTCAGTTGGAAGGCTCCTTTGCAGCTGAGCCCTTCAAAGTAGCTGGCAGGAGTGACTTGACACAGAGCCAGAGGGAAGACTGAGCGCAAAGGCCAAGGAAGGAAAGGTTGGGTTCGTTTAACTTTATTTGTGGGTTAGACATATTAGGAACAGATTAAACCTAAATACTAGCATGATGAGATTTGACGTTGGAGTACATTTAATAAAATATGGCTTTTAAAATGACGATTTAAAGTAGTGGAAAAGGAGAGGAACACAAACCTTCCCACCCCAATTTGCCCCAAGTTTCTTTGAATCTGCCTGGGTTTCTCAACCATCAGCATTACGGATATCTTGGACTGGTTAATTCCTTTTGAGGGAGATAGTTAGCACCATTCCTAACCTCTGTTCAACTGGGCCTAGCTGGGCAAGGAGCAGGCAAGGGCATCATATTTAAGGAGGTAGCCATTCTCAAGGTCTTGTACATTTAAATCCTGCCCTTCTACAACCTTGCAAATAAGTGCCTCCTTAATATTTGGCTCCAGACATCATTCTTGCTTCATCCAGTGCTGGCACCGCCTTTTCTCCCAGTTGTGACAGCCACTTGTGTCTCCAAACACTGCTGAATGTCTGCTAGGGGACAAAATGACCCTTCGTTGAGTCACACCGTAGTCTTTCTGAAATGACTCTGTGGACTGTGCTTTCTTTTAAGTGCCTGGAGAAGCAGCCAGCAGTGTGACCTGTTTTTCTTTTTCTCAGTCGTAGCTGATCACAGGTGTACACTGGGTGTGTGTGAGCAGCTGGGCACTGGAGAAGTGGTGATCCGCAGAAAGTGCTGGGGAAGGAAAGCACTGTGAGTGAACGGGCTGGTGGGCACTGTTGGTAGGGAATGGCAGGGCTTGTATGCAAAGTTATCCGCAGGGGGAATCTGTTCTGCTATGAATCAGAGATCTGACTTGTCGGTCTTAGCTGCAATGAAGGCTGAGTATTCTCTTGTCCATTTTGGGGTGATTATGAAAAGGATTTCAAAGTACACTTTTCTGATCTTTATAAAAATGCTCAAACAAAAAAAAGCTACAGGGCACTTGAACTTTATTTCCTTTAAAAAATATTAGGAGCCTCCACAGTGAATACTTGGTTATTATCTCAGCCCTATGGTACCTGCTCTGTTTTCGTGGAATTTGAAGGAGGCAGTGGCATTTGGGCAAGTGAATGAAAGACACACCAGGTGATAGTGTACTGCTAATCGCATTAGATCATAGGCGATCACAGAACCGCAGAGGGTTGTATGTCTCAGTTTAAGTAAGAGACTGTTACTTCGTGTTTGGCTGTAGAGTTTAATCCCTGTAGCCATGGGTGTCTCACCTTCAGTGATGTGTCACTCCACTCTCTTTCTGTAGCACTTAACCAGCACATGATAATGACAACAAATGAAAGCATGCAGTTTAATAATAGCATGTTGACTGCAGCCAGCCAGCCAGTGTGCTTGATTGTATTTGGACTTCATGTTCAGAAACCCTTACTGGTGATTCGTAATGTTAGCCCTGCTTTCTAGATCGACGTATCAAACAGTCAGGTTCATGAACTTTCTGCACTTATTTACCGGTTGGAGTTTGTGTTCTTCAGTAGTAGATGGGCTTATAGAGATTTGTGCAGGGGATCTCCCCAGTGGTGACACCCTACAGACTGCACACTGTGAAAAACACCATGATATTATATGGGTAGGTATACAACAAGCACCCGGTGAATTCCAGTGCTTTCAAGTATTAGTGTATTTACTAAAAATGTTTTTCCAGTGACTCCTGTAAAAAAAGTGTGGAAAGGCAGACTTTATTCAGGATAATTGTAATAGAAAGGGATATCATGATAGTGCATGCTTAGAACCAGAGCAGAGTGAATATGTTCCATTGTGAATGCAGAATGGGCAAGTGCGAATTTATAGTCAAGGAACGGGTTGCAGGTCAGTGGATGGAGAATCACTAACAGGACATTTCACGGGTAAAAGGGCTGCTGGCTGCAGACAGAAGTGTCGGAACCTTCACGTGAGGGATGGTGGAGGATTCGGAACCTGGTCAGGTGGTGATCTGCTATCTGACATGGCAGGACCCTTTATTGGCAAAGCTGGATTTTATGTGGAAGTGCACCAGGTGGCTTGGAGAATGTTCAGGAGGCTGACTGAAGTTTGGCCAAGCAGAGAATTTTGAATTTGAAAATGTTCTTCCTGAACGCTATAGAGCGGGTGAGGGGCAGGCAGGCAGGAATCGGTCCCTTCTTCCCTCCCTCCCTTTTTGTTTGCTTCCTGCAGGATCTTGCCTAAGAAATGGTATTGAGGAAAGGATGAAATTTAATGGGAAGACTTTTTTTTTTTTTTTTTAACCTACTTGTTTCTCCTATTCTAGTGCAACAGATTCAATTGGGAGAGTGAAGTAACCCCATTAGAACTGTTCCTTCAGCTGGCGCTGGTGTTAGGGAAGATTGTGTAATAGTGCTGGAGTTTCTTTTCCAAAGCCCACTGTTAGAATATTTTCTTGCTGTAATTTATTACTGTCGTGGAACCATTAACTTTTATCATTAGAAACTGTACATACACAAGAGGTGTTACAGTTGGATGTGTGTGTTCCAAATTCTCATTACGTGTTGCTGACCTGTCCCTATAAATCTCATCTTGGTGTTATCAGCTTTCTACTCGCTGGCCCTAATGGGAAAGCTCTCTGCTATATTCAGGTCCAAAGTGCACCATCAGACCTTGAGTTTCTGCCCTTTATTAACATTGTCTTTGTAACTTATATCCTCAGCTCTCTTTAGTTGGAAATCCAGCTGAAAAAAAGTTCCTTAGTTTTATATACAAAGTGAGCCTAGGGTAGAACGCGTTACAAATCATGCAATGCAATGAGCAGAGCAGAGTCTTAAAACTTTTACCATTAGGTATTTTTTTTAAGTCCCTTACTAAATAATTACTTTTATACCTATTTTCCCACTTAATAGCCTCGGAACAAAACATGCATTTTTAAGCAGTTTGATACTCATTTTACTGTTTGAAAGCCCAAGTAGCTGGTAAAACAGCAAATTCTGTGAAGAGTGTGCAAGGAGCTGTGTTATAATTTCCTAAGACCTACCTACACTTTTGCTCTACTTTTAATCAAAGATTCTTGTGCAGCAAAAACAGCGTTTCTGACTTGGTTCATATGTTCTTAAGAAAAAGCTATTTTCTTGAGAGATTCCTTTGAGCTCCTCATTCAAGAGCTTTGAGGCTGCTGTCTGTTAAGAGGCAGGACACTGCATTGTTCTTAACCGCTGAAACAGCGCTGTCCCAGGCTCTTCGGGTGTGTGTTCACAGTATTGTAGAAATCCGTATCCCTCAGAAACTTATCTGAAGTGCATACTTAGAAGTATTTGTCTTTCGAAATAGGTAAGCCCTTATTTCACCAGCTTCAATGAAATAACATCTTGAAACAGCTGCAAAGTATATGTCGAAATACAAGTTTGGATCTATTCATTTTTTTTCTGTTAAAACTGGTTAAACCAACTCAACTGAACATAATTTGAACTTCATGAGGTCAGGAAATGAAACGACCAAAAACTGATGTGTGGGCACTATTGTGTTGGAATTGAGTCTAGGAAATCAAGCATGGACTTATTTTTGACAGCATTAATGTCAAGGAAATAAGAGACAACATTATTTAAAAATGTATTCATTACTGAAAATTATCATCATTTTGTAAAATTACCTTGTTTTTTTAATCTATGGGACACAAGCTCTTCAACACTTTCTTGATGCAGTTATTTAACAGAGCTTTCAAGTAACATGATTCTTTAATGTTTGTTGATATATATTTTTATATATTCGCAAATGAGAAGTATATTATTGGTTATTGCTACCTCAGGGTTTATTCTGCTGGGCAGGTAGTAGGCGGAACACACGTTTAGAATACGATTTTGATTATACGAATTTAAAGTCATAGAATCCATCAGTACATCTTTTTCATGTAGTGCTGGGCACATTGTGTTAATCCAGTTGCTGATATTTAGGCAGATGGGCCTGGCATGTTGATTTTCAGGTGATATGAAGATTTTGAGAAAAGAATTCCAACTGCATCTAATTTAGAGGGTTTGTTTCTATTTCCAATAGAAAGCCAACTCATAAAGCCAAATTAGCAATGACTTTACTCATTTTTTATCACAAAAAGAACAGACATATTACTGGTGTAGAACGATTGGTTTTCTAACTTCAGCTATCAAAGGTGAGACCACATTAGACCATTCAGTGGTCAGCCCAACATCACACTGTGTTGTCATTGAAAGATGACCTTTGCTTCCAGCTCTGATTGCGTTTAAGAGGAGGAGAGGCCATTTCCCACTCTTCCACTATTTCTTTTTGGATATTGAATGGCAAGAAAGAACTGTGTCACAAATATATGGGTTAAACCTTTTTTTTTTAAGAGCATGTAAATGTAGAGTACTGCAACATTGATTTTCAAGTCCTGAACTTATGCCTATGGCTCGAAAGAAACTGTACAAATTGCGTTTGGAAACAAAAGGATAATTCCCCAAATATTTTAAAGATAATTATTCGATACTTTGTGACTAACGAGTTTTGGTGTTTTTGGTGACCTTTCCTGCTCCTCTGAGATTTTCTCTCTTTTCACCTCCTTTTCTTTCTGTTGTGCCATTCTCCTGCAAATGATATTGTCTGCCAGTATTACGGCTGTTTTATATTTTCAAATTGCCAGTGATTTTCAATTTTCCATTTTTGATAGGAACTACAGTTATTGACAAAGACATACTGTTAAAAATGAAGCTTTTAATAGTACTCTTTCTGTTGTGTTCTAATTGCATAATCCCTTTTTCTGAAAGAAAGTTTAGTGTCATTCTATCTCATGCGAACATTAAAGAGCTTGCAAACTATAAGTCACATATTATTTCAACAAAGTAGAAGATGGTCCTATTTCTGAAATAGAGAAATGTTGAGTTTTAGAGGTTAACCAAAATTTCCAGATTCATGTTACGCATTTGTAATTGATGAGAGATCTGACTTTTATCCTACAAGTAGTTCTTATATTTTGATAATTTAAATATTTAAATTTAGTCCACTTTTTTATCTAGCATTGGGAAGAATCAGTGCAGTAGTCCATGAACTGATTTTATAAGTGTTTAATGAACTTTGATCTTTCAAAATATGTTAATTGTCTTTTGGGATGTGCCAGCCATTATGTACTTAGAGCATCACCAACTGTTGAACCTTTTGTTGAAATTTGTGTCAAATTTAAAGGATTGTTAAGGGAACTCAGCAATGCTGCTGTGAACGAAGGCAACCTTGGACTTCACATACCTAGTAAGCAGATGTGTAGGGGATTTCAGATTAACTGTTAATATTTGATATCTAGGAGCATTTAATGATTACAGCTTACATATTATATTTAAATTTGGCGAATGTTTCTGCTTCTTAATTGAAATGAAATCTTGCATTGAGTTGGAGTCTTCATACTCTGAGACAAAAAAATACTGTTAACTTCACTTTTCTAAGCATCACGCTTTGTAGTTTTGCTTGTTGCAAGAAGTTAAATGACCGAGATGTTGCAAAAAAGCAAAAACAAACAAACAAACAAACAAAACCAGTGTTACCTTTCCTAAAATAGCCTCTGGTTCTATCTGCCTCCGTAAGAAGCAGAGCCATAATCCTGTTGACTACTAAAGTCATTTATCATGCCAAGTGTTTGTAATTCTTAGGATTTTTTTTTTTTGGTGGTGGTAGTGGGGAGATCTTTTTTTTTTTTCTTTTTTACCGACTGGTTGACAGATATAATGAAAGTTGTTGGCAGCTCCTATCCAAAACAACTGCTGCCATGTATTAAT